GGAATATTGCTAAAAGCGGCGTAAAACCATACTCAGTCAGTCAGTCAGTCAGTCAGTCATATAGTTGGAATGGTGTGGCGTTAAACAACACACAAAGTTTGTAAGTCGGTGGGAGTCGGTAATATTAATTTATGCCTTACTTAGTGACTGTCAATTTGAACAGGTTTATTAAAATATTAAATATCGAATCTCTTGTAATGCCGGACAAAACTGAAGGTCGCGAATTTACGACGTGAATATATCATCAGGTAAGATCGGAGCAATCCAGACTTCCTTCACACACGATTCAATACTAAATTGTGGGCAAAGGACACATTTATCATGTCAGTGACTCCCACTCCGGAGAAGCTTTTCAGGATTCCCGCAAGCACGTCTCAATAAGCTGTCATAGATCATTGGGCACCAACGCCTCCACTCTCTGCTGCAGTTGACCTGACAGGCCTCATTTAAGGGTACATTGGTTGTTATTTCTTGCCATTGAGGTCATGGAAATTAGGCACCATGTCGAGGAATCAAAATTGTTTACATTAATTATTGGGGGCAAAAAACTTGACCAATGTACTGTGGTCGAAATCTTCAACCAAGATGCTGTTTAAATAAATCACGCATTGGCTGTTTTGTAGCCATAGGTGTGCCAGGTACATATGATAGTGGGTTCGAATCCCAAATTCCTTTGATTACATTTGTAGGATTGTCAGCACAACACCCGTTCTCGTTGGTTTCACCAAAGTTGTAAACGTCTAAGTCCTGCATCACTTTTAACTTTCCTTCCGCAAGCAGTGATGTAACTTAATTGTTTCTGTTTAATTGTTTAAACCAAACTCACTCATTCCAAATTATCCCACATACTGTGAACTTTCAAACAAAATCCCTTCCCTTCTAATTAGAGAATACCATTATGTTTTTTATCTGAACAATGTTTTGGCAACTTTAAATTGCCTATATTTATATTTCTCAACTTGGATTTCACCCGTAGAAAAAAACGTAGCCCTGAGAAAAAGGTATCATGTTTATGTCGTATAGCCCACAGGTTTAGTCTGTGTGTCACGTCCTTAATTACGCCCAGTGTTGCAGTCAGAATGTTAAGCTTACTGAACATGCACAAAAACATTATCTCATGTTGTTGACGCTGTGAAGAACATACAAGACGTTGTAATTCCAGGGGCTAATTTAATTTACCAACACGTGTGTCACAGAAGGGAACATTACCTTAGCCATGTGGAAATTGCCAAAGATTAATCCACATCATCGTCTTGTTTGTATTCCGAACAGCGTCCGTTTCACGTGGCTCTCGGAAATCGTCCTCTCTTGTATTTTCACTTGCTTCGTTTTGAACTTGGCAAGAGACGGTTACGAAATATTAAGTGAAAGAAAAGAATAAATCAATGTCATTATCTTTACGAAGTGTTACCGGTCGTAGAATAAAACGGTAATTAAATGAGGTCTGACGGTATCGACCTCATAAAATAACCATGAACTAAAAAGATAGCGTTAAATTGAGAATCAAATTAAAAAATCTGAAACAAAATGGTATTTTGAGATGTTATTACCGTAATAACCCGTGAATATTTGTCCATGAATCTTTATCAGCTTCGCGTAATTCATTCCGGTAATTGCTGTGAGTTTTTAATTCTGATAAATATCAATAGCGGACGTTGGTGAAAGTGCCAAGTGTACAGAACAGTTCTAAATTAGTGCTTGTTTATTGTAAATCTTTAATAACAAGTCGACAGGAACGGATTTATGGTGATGCAAAGGCAATGTGTAATGTTATATAGAAGACACTGACATTATTGAATATTTGAAGGTGTCTTAGATGGCGTGGTACAAAGTACGCATCGAGCACTGCATCCAATATTGTTTGATCTCCAAGGCTCGCTGGTTGTATCAAAGGGAATTATCCTGCTCTCAACAAAATGTTTCTTTCTCAACGTGTCTGGAGTTCAATTTCGAAACCTTCTCACAGTCGTGAAGAGGTTTATGTTTTCTCGCCCAATTGTCAATATGATGCGGAATCAATACAAAGAGTGCGTTATTCGCCGGAAGTTGAACCAGTGACCATCAAGTACGGCCAAGAATTAATCTCCGCTGAAAGACAGAAACGGGTGACGTCAATTTCCTCACGAGGAAACCCTACTTTATAGTATTGCGAGCTAAAAAGGGATTTCCATGTTCGTTTCCGACCAAAGCAGTCTTGTTCTTATGTATAATGGGATTTCGAGACCCCTCTCTTGTTTCCTTGTACAAATGTGACTGGACATCCAGCAGAACCGGAGCTGAGCTTCGTTAACTGCAAGGGGCGGCAGTTTCTTCAAGTTAGTAAAATTGAAAGAAAATGCTGATTTCGTTTTATTTCTGAACTGTGGTAGATGAACAGGAATACGACCACGGATATAGGATATAACATCAGGGATCACAGTCCTGTAGTCCCGAACCTTGGTGTATTGATCACTGTAATGTTACCACATGACGTGAAGTGTTGCGAGTCTCCGGAGTCGAGTTGTGCAATCTTCAACCGTATGAGTGAGTGGGCTTGATTTAACGCCGCTTTACTCCAGCAACATCAGGGCGAGGACACCGGCTTCACACAATGTACCCTTGTGGGGAATCGATCCTAAACCTACGACGTGACGAGCATATGCTTTAACCACTAGACTACCCCACAGCTCACCTAGTAAGTAAATGGGTAATGTGAAGGACGTGCAAAGACAAATGCACATGATATGGTCACACACGTGCAATCGACTCTGCTTTGGGCGGCCATTTCTTATGAGTAGGTAAATTTCACATTTTCAACTTCAAAGTGTGCATCTGGAATGAACCATTTTATACCTACATTGACTGTTTCCTGTCATGCATTGCAAATGCATGTGCTAAACCACTGGTAGCATTCAGTCATATATGTTGGGTAGCTTTTTCCAATACCTTTAATTCTTTATTGTTTGCAATATATGGTCGTTGTCTGTGTTTCCAGTTTCATAAACGCATCCAATCAGTGTGACACATGTTCTTTAACCGTTCATTACATAGACAACGTACTCAGACCTATTGGTGTCTGTTGGGATATGTTACTGTTTGACACACTACGTACAAACCAAGGCGACACTTCAATAATGACGCTGAATATTTACTGCTGCGTTCTATGAACGCTTGAGTCTCGGGTTAAGACAACATTGACGCTGGAATGTACCTTCGACCTCGTAATCTACTTGATTTGTAGATATTGATAACAGAGTCATAAATGGCAATTGGATTCAATTACTATTGTTTCAATACAGCCTTCTTTAAAAAGTATGAGAAATAAGGGAAAAGGACACTACTGTCAAAAATCATAATTATTCTATTTTTATCACACGTGTCACGTCTGGTTCAATCATACATTTTAAATAAATATAAATTCTCAAAATATCGATATAGAAACATACACCAGCAAATTCCAATGATATAAATCTCTATCTATAATTAAATTATATTCTGGTTAGTGATAGATGTGCTCTCAAACCCATATGAGTAGGAAGTAAGATATGCATACCGACAAAACTGGCAAGGTGACAAATTCATAGATGGATAAAGAAAATAAAAATAATTGAACAGCATATCAAAGATATGTATTGTACCCGGCATCATCTCGCTGACCCCATGTACGCCGGCATAAGGAAGTCTGGGGGGAGTTCTCATGTTGGAGATTGCTGGTGTCTATTGCATCCCTGGGCGTCAAGAGTTGGGGCCTTGTCAACTTTATTAATTCATTCAGCGTTGTTTTTGACAAGAATGCAATGCTTGCATTTCAACTGTCCTTGACCGTTCCCAAAATAGGTATATAATGGGGTGATCATTAATTCGATAGCATAAAATTCCATGTAGCCGGGATTAACAAGTTTGTGTTTAGGTTGATGATCGAGCAGTCTACGTATTCCTGTTGAGTACATGATCATTGGAAATGTTTGGTTACAATTTACGCTCTCGGTGTGCATCTCACATCCCAGTACAATTATTATTTTATTATTTGTCCAGCACTTAGGTGTGGCCTATTGGTTTGTTCGGCTGCTTGTCACGACTTCGATTCAAGTTCTATTCTCAAGATGAATACGTTGTTTGTTTGTGTGATGGTTAACGCCGAACGCAATAATAGTCCGGCTGTATGGCGTCGATATGTAAATAATTACATCTGGATCAGAAATCACGTGCCGTGATATGTGTGTTAAACCGCATTCAATCAATTCATATTATTAAGGAGTCAAAAAATACATTGATATCCAATGGTATTTGATGATATCCAACTTTACAATTTACGTTCCTGCTGAATAAGCGGCAGCAAAAGGAAACACAGAATGCACATTGAAGCATTCATTAATCCACACACATGTTATCTGGACGGGTTGGTTGGAAATGGGTTTTACGACATTAATTAGTCTACAGATATGTCACCTGGGACGTATTGGTTTGAAATGTGTAATTACGACATTATTTGTCTGCACACATGTTATCACAGACGTGTTCATTGGAAAAGTTTTTTACGACATTAATTAGTCTGCACACATGTTATGACGGACCTGTTGGTTGGAAATGGGTTTTACGACATTAATTAGTCTACAGACATGTCATCTGGGACGTATTGGTGGGAAATGTGTGATTACGACATTATTAGTCCGCACACATATTGCGTCGGACCTATTGGTTGGAAATGGGTTTTACGACATTATTAGTCTGCACATATGTTATGTCGGACCTGTTGGTTGGAAATGGGTTTTACGACATTAATTAGTCTACAGACATGTTATCCGGGACGTATTCAGTCACCCGTCACAAACACATGCAAAGGCAAGTCAATTGTTCACCTGAAAAGAACACGGGAAAAAAGTACAAGTCAAAATAGTGATTTGCATCTATGTGTCACTGATTCGTAAAAATTGGAAACACCCTCCACGTGCCTACTTTGAAAGCTTGACCAATCACGTGCCTTAACATCCAGATGTAAATATTGATTCATTTCTTTTCAGCAAACCCAACCGCCGGAAAAAGTATTTTATGACAGTACTGTTGTGTGGCCGGAAGTAGAAGAGCAAGAACCACCTTTTTCTGTAGTCAGTGGGATTTGTGAGGCGGGTCTCGAGTCAAGAGGCCCTTGCGAATTTCTTCATCGTGCCTTCTCTCTGTTAGGCGGAGCCTGTGAGTACTTCTCCTTATAAACAGCAATGTATTTTACTCTTGTCTGAAACATTTTCCACGCGCCTGTACACAGACGGTTATCCTCGGCAACGTGTGATGTCTACGTGTAGTATATGTAAAAGTGTAAATGTATTACTGGCTTTAACCTTTGATGCAGCACTTTCCCTTTGACGTTTTAGTGTAATTACCTAGCTCGTTCATACACGATTAATTTATTGATGCACGTAGACACCAGTTCTTTGCCACATGTCTCAGAAGTACCTGTTCTGCACAGATTAACATACTAGGTTACGAGGCAAATGACGCCATGCTTAACATGCCGTTGAATACACAGACACAATCTTAAATAGTTTGACGTCAAAATAGTGCAGCATCGCTTATTAATTACGTCATCGGAAGACATATGCGTCACGCGTTGCTTGGGAATTGTCTATGTGTTGACAAATTCTAGAATGGTTTTAGGATGCCTAGTTTTATTACCAGGAATGTTACCTCGGAATTGGAAATGTAGGTACATGTAGGTGCCCTGTTGGTTGATGGTCCAAAGGGATTGGAACTCTCTGGTCAAGGATCGGGGCTTTAAAAGGAACACTTCTCTGTAAATATGTCACTTGTAATGAATGTTATATATTATATTCATAACACATTTTAATCGGGCTGCCTCCTTGGTGTAGTGGACAGAATGTCTGCTCGGAGAGCGGAAGGTCGGTGGTTCGATCCCAAAACAGCAATACATACCAAAAGACGTTAAAAGATGGTACTTGTTACCCTGTCTGGCGCTCGGCATTAAGGGGATGAAACATGGACTGGTCGGCTAGGAGTCAGTTTATTGTGTCTAAGTGGGGTATCCATGTTAAACTGCGGCATGGTATCTCAGTGGTCAAGCACTATAAAACCGACATAAGTCCAGACCAGTACAATCAGCCACACATACACACACACACACACACACACGTGCATGCATGTCGTTATAAACGTGCAATCATCTTTCACCGCCACCATTTTGATCGACTGAAATGTTCATGTTTAAGGGGGCGGTCGTGTAGGCTCGTGGCAAAAGCGTTCGTTCGTCATGCCGAATGCTCCCGTTCGATTCCCCACATGAGTACAATGTGTGAACGTCAGTTTTGATGTCCTCCGCCGTGATATTGATGAAATATTGCTCAAAAGTGGCAAAAAAACAAAGTCATTCACTCGATTCGTGACGTTTACATTTGAAACACCATGTTGACGCTATGCAACACTCATGCACCTTCACTCCAATGCATTATTATTTAAATACTTCAGTAAGTCAATGTCGTTATTTCTTGCATCTAAGTATATTGTATATCAAAATTGATACCTGTGTTTATTGCATATCACAATTGGTGTCATTTTGTCACAATGTCAAGGGCATTATGTCCAATGCTAGCCACACGTGCAGTCACACAGACAAACTTGCTACAGGAAATCACAGAAGTGTAAACTTTTTTATATAATAATTATCATAATAATCGTTTGATGTCGGTTTCGCTCATATTTTGGCCTTTGCTTTTGCTTCACCGAGTTTCACCAAAGCGGTTAACGTTTACTCGAAGGACGTAAGTCACTTCACACGTAAGACCTGCATCACTTTACGCGTGAGACATGCATCACTTTACGCGTGAGACATGCATCACTTTACGCGTGAGACATGCATCACTTTACGCGTGAGACATGCAGCACCACGGGCATTCCATCTAAATTACATTTGCAAATTTGACGCGCCAGTGACAAACATAATGTCCGATGCAATTCCTTATTGTGACATTTACGGTTTGTTCCCGTGTTTTTTCGGGCGAACAATTGACTTGCCTTTGTACGTGTTTACATGTAGAAGGAATCTGATAATAGACAATCAGTTTGTAAATGAAAAGTGATTTTACACTTCTTTACAGTTATCATGGCAGAAGACACAAAATTATTGTACCCATGTGGTCAATCGAACTCAACCTATTTTTGTAACGATCGCTTTGACCACTTGGCTACCAACCGCTCCTTATGGTAAGAGATAAGTGGATTGTGTTAAAACTCAACTTCTTAAATGTGTGAAAATAATACATGACTTAACACGTTTACAATGACAACGCATCTACTACTGTACATGAGCAGGCATAGGGAACGACAGACTATTTTATATTCACAAAGGTTTATTCAGTCTTTAGCTTCAACATGAGTTTATTTTACGGTTGACGAGTGCCATCGAGGGGCAGGATACGCTCACCTTTTCGCGAACACCTGGTATCATCACTATTTGATACTGACCTGTGAAGATCCGGATGGAGAAGAGGTCTTCAGCAACTCACGCAGCTTAAGAAGCGAATAACGGGATCGTGTGGTCAGGCTCGCTGACGTGGTTGATGCATATCATCGTATCCCAAGTGCGTGGATCGATGCTCATGACGTCAATTACTGCATGGTCTGATCCAGACTCGATTATATACAGACCGCCATATAGCTGGGATATTGCTGAGTGCTGTAAAAATAACAAACACACAAACTATCTGATTCTGATTCAAATGCACATGCTCGTGATAAAGTCGCAATCGTAAAATGGCATTTGCCTTCAGTAAAGATTTCCTTTGATTTTGTCGCTTTAATTACATAAATATAAAACGTCAAGGCCAGAGAAAAACGCGTCGGAGACTTTGTTGAATGAGCACCTACAACGCTCCTATACGTGTAGTTACGAAGCCATTTGTAACGACTTCAAGTAACATAGCAATAAAACTGGGATCAAGGCGCAAGCACTGTAAACGTAATTACCCCCCGCCCCCGTAAACTTATCATCATATGACGTTTATAAGCATTAGAACAATGTGAAGAGAATAACAGAATATAGAAACGCGTGATATATTACATGTGTTCCGTAACGGGACATAAGCTGTTAGCCAATATAACGTGCATGATCATGACGTACTCAGTCAGTGTTCACGTGACACGCGTCTACTTGATACTAACATTAAGGTTTAGTATAGCTTCTATAACAATCGTAACTACTTCTTGGCACATGATGTATGTTTAACCTTTACGGTAACACTGACAGACAGACATGTTATTCAGAATGAAGGCAACACGGCAACATTACCGTTTAAGATAACTACGCGATAAATCGCAAAGAGGTGGTGTGGTGGAATGGGGTTTAACGTCGCGTCCAAGATTATTGCACTTATATAGCGACGTGCAGACACGAGCGTGTGTGTGTGTGTGTGTGGTAGCTCATACTAGTCGGGACTGATACAGATTTTATAGTCCTAGCCCACTGACATACGATGCTGCAGTTTAACATGAATACCCCACCCAGACAAAGTATACTGACTCCGAGCCGACCAGTCCTTGTTTTAGCTCCTGAATGCCGAGCGCCAGACAGGGTAACAACAAGTACCATCTTTTAACGTCTTGTGGTATGACGCGGCCGGGGATCGAACACCGGACCCTTCGCTCCCCGGGCGGACGCTCTTCCACTAGACCACGGAGGCGGTCAAATTGCCATGAACAATAAAGAACGAAGCGTGGTGTATGTCACGATAAAACATTGTTCTATCATGACGTCTGGAGATTCGAACATGCGCTCGTAACTTGATAACGTCGTAAACTGGACGACGTTTTTTTTAGAGGGAAGTGTCCAGTGAGTTGTTCCCAATAGATATTGTTGGGTCAAGCAGAAAAACGCAGTGGCCAAACGATCGCATCCCAATGTGGAAGAGATGTGGCAATCGGTATTAGGAGAAAGGTACAGTTATCGACAAGAGAACGATAATCCCAAACCTAACCCATCTGTTCGTAAAATAAACTTGTCTGACATTTCCGAGGTCGGATTCTATTCAGGGAGTCATCATTATGACAATTTGGGCGAATATTTTAAAAGCTTGTACATTTTATCAACATCCTTGAAGGGGCTGTATATAACGTTGACATCTCATATAAGAAACAAACGACTCGTGGTCGTTGTATTCTCCCTGCAGTGTTTTATTGTACGATAAACAACGACCAGGAGTCGTTTACTCCCTAAATTAAACTATGATCAGCGCATGGTGAACTGAACAATGAAACAATGATGTTTTAATGCCAGTTCTCGTCATCTCAGATGTGTCCGTTGACAGTTAACGATCATCTTGACTGTAGGTATTTCCATTTAGGACGCTCGCAAACAAAGCATCTATTCATTTGGAAAAAACATAAATCCCTATTTCGACATATTTCTTCATTAATATTTATTTTTCAATCGTATCCTTCTGTAAAGTTATGACTAAGTACATTCATTTGTGGTATAAAGCGACATACCTATATTAAAAAATAAATCACGAAATTCATTATCTGATTATAATGATGCTCCATTGCAATAAAATGTAGATGTTTCACTGCTATCCTCTACTTCTTTGGGGGGCACGCATGGCCCAGTCGTCTAAGGCGCCGCGATTCGCTGTGCAGAGCTGGGTCCCTTGGGCACGCCAGAAACCTATGATTGTGGATTCAAATCCCGGTTCGCCCCGATTATGATTCTAGGTTTGTCAGCACCATACCCGTGCTCGTGGGTTTCACCGAAGTGGTAAACGTCTGAGACCTGCATCACTTCGGGCTTTCCTCCCACATTAAGCAGACACGCCGTGATATAACTGGAATACTGTTAAAAGCAGCGTAAAACCCAACTCATACACTCACTCTACTTCTTTGAATTATATGATGTACGCCAGTACTTGCGACCATCTGGTGACATATACAGTGTTCATCCACCTTCTGCCAGTAAGATATCTGTGTCATCGTTGACGTGTTGGTATATCTTAAAGATGCATGGAGGTTGGAGACATGAAAAGAAAGAAACGGTGGTGTGTGTTTCCTGGTTATATCTGCAGCCCCTGAGGACTGAAGCTTATGATACATTGGTCTTCATCTTTTGTCAGATTCATGTACATCACGTCCACGTTAAAGTACATTATACATTTGCCATTAAACATGACCCCCACAAATCTCAAGTCTGAAACTGAGTTCTTCTTGTTCCGATGCTTATATAACTGAACATGTAAAAGACGCATTCTTCAAACGTTTTCTGCCAGCATAAGTACTGTCTTGTTGTACAGCTCGGGTCTCCCCTACCAGGCAATCTATCGATGCCGGACAGAAAAGGCATTTAATTGAATTTTGGAAGATGGGAAAATTTATAAAGAAGTTATTTACAAGATCGTATCTATATGATTGTTCATATAGCAGAAATATTAAAGAAAATACACATGGTTTATTTGTTTTAATGAAAGATTAATGGCATTCCCCACTCATCAAGATGATATGCCGTGATATAACTGAAACACTCACTCACTCACTCACTCACTCACTCACTCACTCACTCACTCACTCACTCACTCACTCACATCGGGAAAGGAACAAGCATTTTGTGAATATGAAACGTATGAACCAAATCAAAAGTTCATTGGTATTCGTTCAGCCTTTGGTGACACTTATAACGATCAAAGTGATGAGGTTTGACATTTGGAGAAAAGAAACGCTCAAGAGGATGTCATGATCATGGACAGCACTGTAAATAGGAAACCTCAACGCCATGGAATAATCTACGTCTATTAGCTGCCGAAACAGATTCCATTGGGCGCAATAGGTAAAATAGCAGTGAAAATATATGAATGGATCACTGAAAATCAGTGATGACACCAACCGTTCGTGTAAAGAGTCAGCATGTTCTGGCCTACCTGTATCACATGCCACTCACACAATTAAACAGACACTAAAAGGTTTGTCCAAAGCGCGATGCTTGTAATTTGATTGCTATTCTTGATGGTTCACATGCATGCGATTGTTCGTTTCAGGGCCAGTGACCGTTTTCCTTGTGATTCTGCTCGCCTTGCCGTTAGTCATGACAACAATAGGTACGTGGCAACCTCTGTACAACAGATCCTTGAGGTTGACTTTTACTTGGACAGTAAATACGTCTGTATGACAGATCTTAGTTAATTGAGGGTGTCATCTTCTATGCAACAGGCTATTGATAAGACAATGCTCGGTAACTTTTCATCACTACACAACGGGATTATATATTATACTGAAACAAATGATAGGGGTCATGGGTACCTTCGGATATTTTTTTGTTATTTTGTTATGAAGCCTGAGCACAATATGTTATATTTCACATGTTAAAATATTTCATGATCCCTAACTTTTTGGTTCAGTATATTTGACCCATAATTGGTAAGTAGACACCTCTGAAAAACAGATGTTAGGAAAATAATAGGTAAGTGGACACATCTGAACAAAATGTGTTAGGACAATAGTAGGTAAGTGGACACCTCAGAACAACACACTTTAGTTAGTAAAATAATAGGTAAGTGGACACCTCAGAACAACACACTTTATTTAGGAAAATAGAAGGTAGACGGACACCTCAGAACAACACATTTCAGTTAGGAAAATAATAGGTAAGCGGACACCTCAGAACAACATACTTCAGTTAAGAAAATAGAAGGTAAGCGGACATCTCAGAACAACACACTTTAATTAGGAAAATGATAGGTAAGCGGGCACCTCAGAACAACATACTTCAGTTAGGAAAATAATAGGTAAGTGGACACCTCAGAACAACATACTTCAGTTAGGAAAATAGAAGGTAAGTGGACACCACAGAACAACATACTTCAGTTAGGAAAATAATAGGTAAGCGGGCACCTCAGAACAACATACTTCAGTTAGGAAAATAATAGGTAAGCGGTCACCTCAGAACAACATACTTCAGTTAGGAAAATAGAAGGTAAGCGGGCACCTCAGAACAACATACTTCAGTTAGGAAAATAATAGGTAAGCGGGCACCTCAGAACAACATACTTCAGTTAGGAAAATAACAGGTAAGCGGTCACCTCAGAACAACACACTTCAGTTAGGAAAACAGAAGGTAAGTGGACACCTCAGAACAACATACTTCAGTTAGGAAAATAATAGGTAAGTGGACACCTCAGAACAACATACTTCAGTTAGGAAAATAGAAGGTAAGTGGACACTACAGAACAACACACTTTAATTAGGAAAATAATAGGTAAGCGGACACCTCAGAACAACATACTTCAGGTAGGAAAATAATAGGTAAGCGGACACCTCAGAACAACATACTTCAGTTAGGAAAATGGAAGGTAAGTGGACACCTCAGAACAACACACTTTAATTAGGAAAATAATAGGTAAGCGGACACCTATTAACAACACACTTCAGTTAGGAAATTAATAGGTAAGCGGACACCTCAGAACAACATACTTCAGTTAGAAAAATAATAGGTAAGCGGACACCTCAGAACAACATACTTCAGTTAGGAAAATAGAAGGTAGGTGGACACCTCATGATCAGAACAACACACTTTAATTAGGAAAATAATAGGTAAGCGGACACCTATGAACAACACACTTCAGTTTGGAAAAAAAATAGGTAAGCGGACACCTCAGAACAACACACTTCAGTTAGGAAAATAATATGTCAGTGGACACCTCTGCAGAACTTGCGAACAGGTTGAAAATAGGACATAGGATGTAAGCATATGTGATATTCCATTACATTATAAGAACTTTGGCATGAAAGACATACGTTTTAAAATGAAAATAATATAGCCCTATTAGCTATTTACAAGGATATTACAGAAAACAGAACATCCTCTTCCACCAAGCATTTAACTAGAAACTGAGCTGGATGGGGAATGTCGCTCTAGGATATGGTCAATCTAATTATCTCAATTTTCCTTCTTCGTTATTAGGTGTGAATTATCTCCACGACTGTCCACGAGAACCCAAGCTTCCAATCTACTTAGTCGTCGGTGGATGTTTCGGCATTCTAAAACTAATTTTCTTATTATGGAAGCAAGTGAGACGGCACAAAGAGGTAACTGACCTTCACGACGATGAAGACCTCGTCACCATGACGCGCATGACGAACATAGCATTAAATATATTTTTGACAATTTGGTTCGTGTTCGGGCATTACTGGGTGGTGGGTATATGGAAGCCCCATTTCTCCGCGCCCTTGCACGAACCAAGGAACTGGTGTGAAAGAACAGTGTTCCTGTTCTCGTTCTGGCAACTTGTCATCTGTCATATAATCATTGCGCTGATGATTGCTATAGGTCTAATGCTATTGTGTTGCTACACTTGTGTCAGGTGTCTGCTCGTCGACTCAAGCAAGAGTTGACAAACAATGAAGACGGAGCGTGTCCAAGTGTAGCCATGGCTTGGACATTCAAGAGGACAATTGCTCCTTCTCATGACGAATCTTGAATTTCCCACACAGTGGCTTCACAGTACTGGTAATAAGGCAAAATTCCCAAAGTAGTGGGGATGAAGCAGGTGGTTGTGAAAGCGGCAGTTAGACGGCGTCTTGTGTGAGAGTATATGCCTCAACAGGAACGATTCCATCACCTCATAACGTGGTGCATCCAAGTGATATTTTATTACAGAGTTTGAAGAAGCTTTATAAGGACCAAGACTCAAGCTGACCACGAAATATTATCGCTCACTTCGCATCATATCAACATAACCTCTTGCATTTTGCCAAGCATAAATGCCTTATGGCAAGAGAGACTAAATCTCTCGTTTCTCACTCAAATATTTTTGCATCGAATTGTATTACATGTACTGTAACGTGTGTTTCTGTTACTTCGCAAGGTGTTCACTCTTTTACTTTCTATTGTAACCAGGGCTACATGAAGCAAAACACGTCTCGTCTGTATGATCGTCTACGTATACGCTTAGTTATCGATTCCGTGGTAAACTATTGTTTCTGCATACGGAAAGTATGCATACGGTATAGAGAGTAGTATCAGATCATGAGTACCCGATTGAATGAAACGGTTGAAACATGTGCATGCAAATATTCTAGCGCCCAGCGTGGAGCTTTGGTTGATGCCAACGACGATCCGATATCGTTCAATAATGGTCAAATGGCCAATTCCCTTGCACTGGTTTAACCTACTAAGCTAGAATTAAACGAGACCAGCGAAACCGCCTTATCTTTTTTCCATATTTTGATCTATGCAGCGAAATTCAGCGCGACAAAACAGTTTCCACTAGCCTGTATGGCAAGTGGGATGACCTGAATTTGTCAACTTTTAAAGGGCTTTATGGTAGACATGTCTAGGACATTTTCAAATTTGACGTACCAGTGACAAACATTAAGTCCATGGACTATGCTTTTAGCAGAGAGTTCTCATGATTATGGAAAGGGTTTTGTCGCTTATTCTAAAGGCATAGACCTACAGAGCAGCGTAAGTATTATTTTATGGCCGGTTTCCATATTATTCTACATTGTACTTAACGAAATCACTGCTGGTGCATTGTTGAGGTGGCAAGACTGAATACAGCATAAGGATGTTCTCTGGTTCTCTGTCATTATAATATTCTTGAAATCGTCCATTAGTCGCAGTGTTCACGACACAATAAAGCAAGGAAATATTCTCACTGTAGTATAATAATGCCAGTAATGCCATCAGGGAATATTATGTATTCAGGAAACGCAGATGCTCTTATAAATGAAACCAAATAGGATAAATGAAAGTGCTCCCGTCGTTACACGAGGCGAATATTCAAGATTTTATAAAAGATGCATTACTCCGTCAAACGATGCTCATGGATTAAAGGAAAGTGAAGAAAACCATGACGAGCATGGAAATGTCACGTGCGACATGTTGCAGTTGTCACTGATTATAAATTGAAAACGAATGATGCATTGACGATATGTACAAAACCTTGGCAGCGTCCTTTTGGGTGTTTTTTTGTGAAAGGCGAGGTTGATCTACGGATGGCACTTATCGAGTAAGAGATTGATCGGATGGTAAACAACTTCAAAGGAACATTATAAGATGGGTCAACAGCGGCGTTGGAGTGGTTTCGGCGACTGTGTTTACACACGACAACGACGGTTGCGGTAAATATCTCATTTTTTAAATACTTAAATCAGGATGCATTGGCATGGGAGTAGCAGTGTGTTTTATCAGCAACTCATTGCCTTCAGAACCGTCAATTTATCAGCAACTCATTGCCTTCAAGATACACTTGGAATGCCAGCTGTCATCAATCGTACCAAAATGCTCTGATAAAAGACATCTTCAAGAAGATTGAGGGATCGTTATAGTTTCAAATCATTAATCATTAACAGTTTTTGTCAACAAGTAAACCACCTGTCAAACACGTGTTTCGTATCAGCCATAAATATTTACTCAAGAACTGAATTTCACTGCGACGACGGCCATACAGTGCTTGGTCATGACCCTATGAAGGTTCATACTTCAATGAACTCAAACAAAGTGAATGTGAATTCTTATAATTTTTAAAATCACTAATTTATACCTTGAAGGCTGTATACACAATTTCATTTAATGCGTGTAATCTCATGTTTAGTCTTACCGACAAACAGCAACGAACTGCATCGCGGATGAGAATAGTTCCTTGAAAAGAGAGGTGGCGTGAGCTTATGTATGCTCAAATTGCTGGACAGTAACAGTAACATCTTTTGTATTGTTTACGACAAACAGATGCTAATATCATCATTAGATGAGAAAGATTTATTAGGATCCTCGGTCACAGGACAGAGAGTCAAAATGGCCGCACGATCAACGTGACGGGAGTGATTTCCGACGTTGTTTAAAAAACCTGTGGCGATTACCAGTGTCAGTCATCATTAATCAGTTGTGTCAAGTAAATACTGCAGTAAATTCACAGAAGGATGTAGACCGCCACTGTAAGTCTATGCATGGATCGAGTCGATAGTTTGGGTGTTTCTTCGTTTCGTTCAATCGGATGGGCCGTAGCGAGGATATTCTTGCACAGTCCTGCAGTCAAACTCTCAAACTTTTCGCAATGTAAGCTAAACCGCTGAGTTCAAGATTGATTAGAAACAATGTTTCCGGATTTATTCGTGTTGGTGAATTCCCAGGGGTTTCCCAAGAAATGTGAAAGTAGTCAGTCTCGGGATATACGTCAGAACGTCAAAAAATGTCGTTCATCGGCTTATGAACTTCGTTTCTTTGTCATATGACCGGCCTCACCTCGTCAAGTGGAACAGCTGTATATCGTGTAAACTACACATGAAAAATTATAAAGCAGGAACAATCCTTGGTAACTGTTATTGTCGTACATCAACTTCATTAATAAGCACCGCTCATGAGGATAATCATCCCGTCACCCGGTGCTTATTGTTACAGGCGACTAAAAGGAATGTTTACAATGTGTAACATGGCATATTCCATGGCATCACATGTTGTGGATGTTACCCATGCTAATAACTGTTTGTACGCTTCGCCCGGAATCAATCATCAACATGCCTCCTTGGTATAGCTGGAATATTGCTGAATGTGACGTAAAACAATATTCACTCCTCAGTGATAGCCCCCGTGTGTCCGCATTGCATTCATTACCTGTTACCACAAGCAAGTTTAACGTAGTGTACGTGTCGTCATTAGAACCAGCCCAGGAGAAGACGCCAGCAGAATAACAAAGCCTTAAATTTACGTGGTTATTGTGGTATATTTTGAATGATAACGCCCCTGTCCAATTAAAGCCTTCAATCTTGTTGCCTAAATAGGCCTGAACGGGCTGGTTTCTGCTTAAACAGCCTTCATCCATCTCTTGGTCACATCTGTGTTGTTAATTAATATGATAGTCACGTTCAAAACGTTTGCCCCGGATCAGCGCTCCGAGGTGCCATCTGATGATCTCGACGTCAGTGCTTGCACCTAGTCCCAGGGGCGAGATGGCTGCAGGGGGTGATTGCTTTCCACGGCACCGAAGAAGGGCTCAGCATCCTGTTAGTACATGTTCAAACTGTGACAACTGTTATTTTGGAATCAATGATGTAGCAATTTTTTTGTTTTCTACATTTTTATGTTTTGTTTTCTCTAATTAGTAATGAGACTCGTCCTACTTCACCCAAGTCGCCTAAATTCAAAGCACCATTTTATAGTTTGACATTACCAAATTAAATTAAGGAATGGCAAGATATATATCTTCTTTTCGTAGGTTGAAGAATGTATAATTAGAAATTAAAGATTGTATAACTTATAATCATTACCTCTTTAAAACATCGTAAGAACATTCCGTTTCAATGAGAGCTGTTAAAACGATGCCATATGCAGTATTATCTCTCACTAAGTAAATGTATATACTTCGACAGCAAGATCTGTATCTGTTTACTGTATACAAAGTGTTGGTATTCATGTGTAAATGGTGTACTGTTGTTTATTTCATGTGTGTCCGAAGGCTGGTCTATTCTTGTATATGAACAACTATTTTGATACTTTGTATACTTAAGGCCGTGTCGCATCTGTGACTTACTGTTGACCTTTCACCTTTATGTGTCCATTGTTTCACTCTATTTTTGGCATTGTGACATAAGTAGCTTTTCCACTTTGTGTATTCTAACTTTTTAAGAGCTCCCATATATTATTATATCCCATATTCACCTTTTGAAAATAAAACCAATTCTTAACGAGATGTTTTGTTGTGAATACTAGAACACACATCCAACAACTTAGAAGTGAATAAAATAATAACTCCGATTATAGAGGTGTATTGTTATTGTGTGTATGGTTTACCTATAGTTGTTATTAGTAAGGTACATGGGTACAATGTGTGAAGCCCATTTCTGGTCTCCCCCGCCGTGATATTGCTCGAATATTGCTAAAAGCGGCGTAAAACCATACTCACTCACTTACCCATTAGTAAGGTAGTCAGAATTGTACAATCGACCTGCAGAGGCAGGGGTTTCTTATGGATATTGAAAGAGTTTTTTCTCACTGTTTTTATCATAAATAACGGAGGAGCAACATTCAGGTTTTTATGTGAACAGTATGTCACATATTTATCTGTGTCTGGTCACGTTCAGATTAAAAATCTAGGATTATGTATTTAAATATTCACCTTCGAATGCCGTTGGGCGGTGGGGCAGCCTAGTGGTAAAAACGTTCGCTCGTCACGACGAAGACCCGGGTTCGATTCCTACATGGGTACAATGTGTGAAGCCCATTTCTGGTGTCCCCCGTCGTGAGATTGCTGGAATATTGCTAAAAGCGGCGTAAAACATTACTCACTCACACTTTATACATACCGCTATTACGTTACTGATGCTTTAATCACAACTCTACATATATAAGGGAAAGATTTAGTTTAAGGTTTAAATTGGCAAATGATAGTGAGGTTATTTTAATACGTTTTACTACTCGCTATATTCCCAACCACAAATTCGAATATACTGAGTGTTTTATTCAAGAGATTACAAAACCACCCTACATAACATCACCAGCATCAGGGAGAAGATACTAGCTATGTGACGTCAGTAAACGTATGACGTCATCACATCAGCGATGAGTGCCAACAAACAGTTGCTGCAGCAACAAGTATATAATGCATATATGTGTGTTTGTTTGTTGTTTAATGCCGCACTCAGAAATATTCCAGCTATATGACGGCGGTCTGTAAATAATCGAGTGATTGACATCATGAACATCGCTCCGCGCAATTGGGATACGATGACATGCATCAACCACGTCAGCGACCCTGACCTCCCGATCCCGTTAGTCGATATGACCACAATAACTAGTTTCTTTTTATGATTTGACCGCCTTCGTGGTCTAGTGGTAGAGCGTCCGCCCGGATAGCGGAAGTTCCGGGTTCGATCGGGCGTCATACCAAAAGACGTTAAAAGATGCTACTTGTTGTTATCCTGCCTTTTGCTTAGCATTAAGGGCCTAAACAAAGACTGTCCGGCTTGGCGTCAGTATACTGTGTCTGCGTGGGGTATTTATGTTAAACTGCGGCATTGTATCTCAGTAGGCTAGTACTAAAAAATCGGCAGTAGTCCGGACTAGTACAAGCAGCCACACTCAGGTGCAAGCATGTAAGTGCAATAATCTTGGACACGTCATTTCCTCTCCTAAATATGATTTGTGTGTTGTTTAACGCCGCGAATCAGCAAAATTCCAGCTGTATGACGGCGGCCTGTAAATTATCGCATCACGACCAGACAATCCACTGATTCACCGCTGTCAGTTCAGTTCAGTTTATTTCTCTGAAAAAACACCAACAGTTCAAGATGGTAACAAGCCTTAATAAGTGATTTAGACACTTTAACGTAATAATGTGTTCAAATGTACAATGAATCTGGACAGATGTCTCGAAGTGGATATATTTTTAGGTGATAATAATAGTTTACACATATTTGGCCGGCCAGATATAACAATTCTTTGGGATATAAAGAAGTCGTTGTTGGAGAAGAACTTAACACCTAAAAAGATACTGAAACTCGTCTCCAGCAGCAGATGATTTGCACAGTGTACAGACGAGGTACGATGACAGGCAATGAACCAAGTCATCTAGCCTGACCACGCGAGCCATTAAGGCACCTATTACCATCAGCATTAGGTGCTGGGTACCTATTCTATCCACACGGGGGAACTATTTATAAGCCTATCTGTACGCCCCTATGCGCCCACGCACTATTGAACATCTCTCATCAGCGGTGCCAATAAAGCTGCATACGGTACACAGAAACACACTGCACACCTACGATAAAGAGATTGGAAATCGATTACTACAGGGTTGTGAAATGAAAACAAAGATCACACAATACTACAATTCTTCCTGCGTCATTCCTTTCTCTTATCTTCTAAAATAAAATGCGTGTTCATCTGTTAGAGTAATGGTGAAAGAATATGAAAGGTTAGCATGTCTAGACTTCGTGGGAGCAAGGCCTCAACAATCGCTCAAGCAGCTGCATGTCTATCAAGGGAGATTTTACATCACTTCGAACAATTGTGTTGCAGTGGTGAAGAGGGACAAAGGGCAATAACTCGTCCAATCATAAATGCGAGTGTAATTTTGACTTCAAAAGAAAACCTTTTATTGTGTTAAAAAAAGATCATTTATGTGGAGTGAGTGAGTGAGTTTGGTTTATCGTCGCCCTGAAGAGTACTTTAGTTATATAACTAGATATATAATAGGTTAGCTCGATGTGGGATAAGAGTCGGAAGTGATAAACGTCTGCATTTAGCAGTTTAATCAAACGCATGTCCAGAAACTGTTACTTAGTTTGTTTGTTTGTTTTTAACGCCGCACTCAATGATATTCCAGCTATATGACGGTGGTCTGTAAGTAGTCAAGTCTGGACAAGACAATCCGGAGACTGACATCATGAGCATCGATTCACGCAATTGGGATACAATGACATACATCAACCAAATCAGAAGGGGCGATCGGGTAGCCTAGTGGTTAAAGCGTTCGTTCGTCACGCTGAAGACCCGGGTTCGATTCCCGACATGGGTACAATGTGTGAAGCCCATTTCTGGTGTCCCCCGCCGTGATATTGCTGGAGTATTGCTAAAGGCGGCGTAAAACCATACTCACTCACTCACTCACTCACTCACTCACTCACTCAACCAACCAAATCAGTGGGCCTGACCACACGATCCCGTTAGTCGCATTTTACGACAGGCATGGGTTGCTGGAGACCTGTTCTAACCTGGCTTTCCTCGAGTAGGACGTAGAAATGTGTCCACAGGTTCGAAAAGTTCATTCATCAAAGTAGCTTAGTTCAGCAAACACAGGATAAGGCATTTGTCTGGTTTGATTGCTTGTACATACTGAAAAGAACAACATCGGTCTGACTGTTAACCCCAAGGAAAATGCATGACTTACTTTGTCATAGGCATGCTAGGGTCGGTTTTTGGTTCATGGTTCATTAGGTTCGGTTTTATGTTCATGGTCCACGTTGCTGGATGCCACGCATGTCCATGTCACTGACCTTTCAGCTGACCTTGCACCACGCCTGACCAGGGCCCAGATCATCGACTCGTGTTAGTGACAAAGCGGGTCTCCGCACCCGGGAACATTGGCTACTCGTTCTGTCCCGTGATTACTGCCATGTACCTTTTCGACCTATTTCCACCAATCAACAATAAATATGGCAGCTGTCGTCTTAAACTTCACCCCTGAGTTTTGTCTTCCGTCACCACACTGAGCTTCCTTCTGAGGGTACAACCAAAACGCTCTTGGACAATACATATCAACAACTTACTTGGCAGCACCCCGTGGTGACTGTTAGGGTGCATGTACGTCCATGCAATATGGATACTCCGTGTTAATCCTGCTTGCTTGTTCAACCAAATGCTTGTGAAGGCTACATAAGTGATTTCAAACATAGAGCAATATCCGTCATATTTTCCATTATAATCGAAAAGGCTTTTGCATATTGGAACTAATATAACAGCATATAGTTATCCGTGGGTAGCTCCACAACAACCATTAATGGATGCTGCGTTGCATCACAGTCAGCAATATCTCCGCTGTAACATTGATGCTTGTATATATACACTAGAAAAGCAACCGTTTGTCATCGTATAATTCGCGAATAATCCGCAATTTCTGGGAAAATTATGTAATTGTCTTATGGCACTTATTAGGCGTTTTATGGAACTGTCACGCCGTCAACGCGTGGCTATGGCGGTACCGCTGTGGCAATACTGACAATATACATGTACATTGCTGCACTGAACTGCATATTCATGTGATGTTTGATAAATACATGAAAACGCTAGTTTGTGAAATATTCCTGCTATATTAATGTCGTCATTAAATATTCTTTTTGACATAAATATTTTTTAGGATCAACTTGCACTGTGTCTCTTGTCTTGAACACATCTACATGTGTATGTGCTTGCATGTACTTATGTTGCACTTTGGGGGAGAGGGGTCGGTGGGGGCAGCCGTCTAAGGCGCCGCGATTCGCTTTGTAGAGTTGCGTCCCTTGGGCACGCCAGAAATCTATGATTGAGGGTTCGAATCCCGCACTGAATGCCTGTACTTGTGAATATAAAAGCATTATGCTTCTGTCAGTCATAACATAACCAGATGATTAGAATCTGGTTTTCATTTTCTGGACAGATGAAGACGATGCATACTTTCGTTTGCTCGTCAGTGTAGTGTTTGTGATGACATATATCTCACATCTGTTGGAGATCAGGTGCAAAGAGTGCGACGGAATAACATAAATAAAAACATCATAAAAACATATTTTTTTTAATTTGTGGGTGTTATTGAGTTGTCGGAGCGCGGGAAGTGCACCATTTGAACCTTCGGCTAACGGCACAATTAATCATGAAATAATGTTTATGTCCCAATTTGAAGCGGAGGACGGAAGCATTATCGTGAGGTCGTAAATGCAATCGTCATGATTTACAGGTGAAAGTTGTACTGAGGTGTCATTAAAATCTCCGTGCTGTCAATATACTTGCGAGAAACAGAAAAATCTGACTCGATGTTGAATTCGTTCTTTTTTATTTGTTTCAAAGACATCCTTGGAAATGAGATGCGCGATCGATTTATGACCGCAATACTTGTGTGCTCAGCCAGGTTGCGCTTGCCCTCCAGAAGCCAAATCTAACCTTGAAATCTTGAGATCTTCACACATCCTTTACACAATGCATCTGGTGAGTTAAGATGTGAAT